AGGCCTACCACTTCAGCAAAAGCTGAAAAACTGAAGAGAACCCTGTAGATACAATCAATTAAATAGGAATGTATTGGGTGGAGAGTTTTTCAGAAGGCAAGAGGGACAGATGGAGAGATAACTGTTTCCAAGAGATGAAAAGAAATGTATGGGTGAATGGGTAGACAGATGGCTAAGCTTAGGATATAGGTCAATTCTTATGAACCCGAGAAAAGCATTCAAGTTTGTTTCTGTTGAAAGTGCTTAATTAGATTAATTAAAGAGAAGAGAACTGACATAAATACTTTTTTGGGGGTGAACTCAGAACATGCAATTTTCTCCATCATTTGTCATTATTTAGAGTCTGTTACCCCATTTCTTTCTTTCATGAATTTAATAAAGACCATGCAGACTGTGAATGCATGCTGCTACTGAAGTTAATGTATGAAGATGCAGCTGCCTATAATAACATGGTTTTCTGTTATTTCTTGCATAGGCAGTAATGCTTGTAGTTAGAAATATGCTGCATTTTCAGATTAGCATCAAAACAAAAAAATGAGATCAGCAAACCAAAATCATTAGGCATCAATGTGTGAGTCAATGTCAAGCCTGCACTATCTAGTTCTCTTGGCATTCCTATTACTCTCCCTTTAAATGCCTGTGGTGCTCAGCACACCATTTCAACCTGCTTAAAAAGTGCTGAATGCTAACGCCTCATTTCTAATTGCCAAATATGTGCTTCATCTTTGAGGCCTTTCAAACATTGTGTGCATCCTTAATGTGCTGAAAGCAATTGCACTTTATCTGGATAATTGCAGAGAAAGGCCAGATACAATGCAAATGTATCGACTTTTAATAATCACAGCTTTGTGGCAGGAATAATCAGGAAGAAAAGAGCAAATGGACAGATGGGGAATAGGGAGACTGGCTGACGGGAACAAAAAGAGCAAAGGACGTACCACCTAAAAACAATGGATCTATACAGAAAGAGGATTGCAGAGATTTGGATTTTGGTCCATGGGTTGCAAGTTTAGCCAGTCAAAGAATGGAGATGAATTGGGATTGGGGAATAGGTACAGAGCAATAGAAGAGCAGATGGGCAGGTGAAGAAATTAAGAGAATGAAAAGCAAGCAGGAAGGATGGACAAAATAGCCAAGAATTACATTTCTGCTTTGCTGTCAGTTGTATCTTAGGTGTCTAATTCAGTCTGACATGTCAAGCTGACAAAGTTCTTATTCCCTGAAGACAGAATGCTAAAATACTGATACCAAGGCTTTTTGTATTCTTGTGCTTGTTGGTGTGAACTCTTCAGGGGTGGCATTAATCAAGCCTTCCCGTTTTACACGTATTGTATAAAAGAGGAATTTTCATCCACTTCTTGTAGCCAAATCAAAACAGATTGCTGTCTATTGTTACCTTATAGTGTTAATTCTTCTCTTCATTAAGCTTTTGGTCAGGGTCACTACCTGGCAGCTTTTCCATTCCCCACCTTCTTCTTAGCCTTATATAAAGAACACATGCACAGACATTGCAGATCCGGCACCATCTGGACACCTCCTCTACTCCATTTATCCCCCAAGGAAGAATCAGCAATTGATTCATCCATGATTATCTCTGGTTGTTAAAAAGAATCAGGGGAGAAAAGAGAAGACAAAGTCCAGAAGAAATTCTGGCTCTTTTTGTAGGGTGCTGTGATTTTGTTGTTGCTACTTTAGAGTACTAGTTGCACAGCCATTATTCAGTTGTCATGTGGATCCAAATGTTTTCCTTCCAGGTCATGTTTCTAGTGTGAATATCTTATAAAGCAAATTCTTTTTTTACTCTTTGGGAACACAGGATTCTTCCATCAGCTAATGACTCATTCTGGCTGTGAGTACTGAGTGCCACTATGTAAGCAATCCAGGAAGCTACAGAGATATCCTACATCAGGGGTTGATCTGGCATATGGGTTTTAATGGCCTGGCATGGCTGCTCTTCTGCTGGCATAAGCAGAAGGGGAGAAGCAGCTCAATTCTGGCCTTGAAGGGCAGCTGTGCTATTATGAGGGCTGATGAGCTGACCTGGCTGCTAGCCAGGGCTGTTTTGAGGAGATATTGAGACAGCGGTCCCATTGGCCCAGCCTGGTATATAGGGGTTAGGGACTAGAGCCCTGGGGGGACATACACCCCAGTTGCTGGGGTGCATGTTGCCTGTCTGATTAAAAATTGGAGAGAGAGACACAAGGAGAGGAGAGAAGGAAAGGAGACAAAAAAAAAGTCTGTACAAAATGGAATCCACAGAGTGGCTAGAGAGAAAAGTTCTATGGAAGAAAGGAAGTGAAGACCCAAGAGACAAGAGTTCCACCCCAGACTGAAGGACAAGAAGAAGGAACCCAGCTGGCTCCAGGAAGTGGTTTCACTCCAGACCCAAGAAGGAAAGGAGGGGTTTGGTTGTTGGTGGTGAAGCCCTGGTCTCCGGGGAAGGACTATGCAAAAGACCCTCAGAGAGGTTCTTCCCCCAACAGAGGAGCAGTGTTCAGCTCAGCAGTTCCAGGAGAAGGTCAAGCCATGCCGAGCACACAACGGTAAAATTCCAGCCTATCTGTTTCTTTTCACTCTCTCTCTTGTTAAGCCCAGAAACAGGGGAGGGGGTTGGAGTGAAAGGGGAAGGAAAACAAAGCAGCTAGCAGGAGAGCTAAACAGAGAAAATTCTCTGGGAGGGAGACTTAGGAGAAAACCTGACACCAGGTAAGTACCAGGAATGTGTTGTAAATACTTGTAAATAGCTTCACTGTAAATAGAAAAAAAGAAAAAGAATAAAAGCCTCCATTGTCTTGTTTTTCCATGTCAATTTCCACCCTTGCAGAGCAAAATACACCTCCAGTTCAAAAAGAACGCCATCACACTGCGTAATGGAATGTGAGAACGACCTTGGAACATGGGCCGGGGGGGGGGGGGCGGAGATGCTGCCTAGGGAACAATCTGACAAAAGCTGGAGGAGCCTCCAGCTGAGTAACGGACAGAGAAAGAAACTTAGAAAGGACCTGCCTTAACTGATTAGGTGGTAAATAGGGACCGTGGGAGACTTGTACTTTCAGACTTGCAAGATTCTGTTAATATAGCCTATCAGTAAAGTAGAAGTGGCTCATCTGGTTATGTTTCCTGTCCAGTTTACCTGGGAGGGCTGACACATGTGACAGTTAGCAATCTTCTTCTGTGCAAGGACCAGAGCCCACGCTGCTACTGCCACTTCTGTTTCCAGGGGACTTGTTGCTCTGCCACTCCAAGGTGGTTGGTGAAGCAGTCACCAAAATAAGTGCTCTCTCCCTCTCTCTTGTGGGCTGGGATAATATATTTCAAATTTGGGACCACAGGCCCAATGATTTAGAGTGGTGGGTCACATCCAGCCTGTGAGCCATAGGTTGCCAACTCTTGGCCTACATTATCATGAAGGAGTGACTTTCCCATTTTTCCAAGGATGGTCAGGCTGCTTAGTCATTTTGTGGATTAAGGATACACGTATGATTGATACAGACAGCAGGGCAGGGTCCAAGTGATCACAGCAATCACAGGCCTATTGGGTAACTGATCATTCACTTTACTGAGACAGTTTAATTCTAACAGTATCTTTTGAAATGCTGTTTCATATGCAAGTTTATTTTGTATTGTTCAGAAAAACAAATCTTTAAAAAAACCCTCTCAAAATATTTTTAAGAACATATTTCTATACCACAAAAAGAGCAAAACAGAAGGATGGCACTTCTTGAGCTTCTGATCGTGCCTGCTATTAATTCATAGCAACAATGAGTTATTATAAAAAACAGAATTCTCCTCCCGATGCTAATTGTTCAAACTTGCCTCTTGTATTCATAACATGCTTATTCCCATATGACTTCTTGGGTAAGATTTATGATTACCCAATTCAAATTTCAGATCAACCAAAAAGTTTTTAGCTCTCACCTTTTCTACTTGTATACAGACAGACATAAACCACCTTTATTATACTGTAAGTAACACTGGTCTCTTTTACTATTGGTGTGAGGTTCATTTCTCCAACTTGCGTCCTCCAATTATATTGGATCCAGAATTCTCAGTCATTGGCTAATGTAACAGGGAATTCTGGTCCCAAAACACCTGGCATCCCAAAACACCTGGAGACCATCAGGGTAGGAAGGGCTGCTGAAAGGTTTAGTGAACGAAAACTTTCAAAAATTGCTTATGGCTTTTCAAGGTAATAATAACTATTTATCAGGCCTTCTACATGGTCACTACCACTTGAATGTATGGTATAATGTATCTTTGGCACACACACTGATTTCAGCAGCCAGAACAGCATTAAAACTCAGACATGAGAGAAAAGGCAAAACAATGCTGATGCGCATGAAAACTTCAAATGCCCAACAGATTTTAGATACACTAACCTCTGGAGCAAGGATATTTCTCAATATGGAATCATACTTAAAAGATTTCAGCACTGTTCCATTACCTATTGCTGCTCATGTGCATCTTTATTTTGACATCCATGGTCTAGAGTTGCATTTACTTGCAGTAACTGCAGGAAGCAGTTACCATTTAATGTGCGTTATACTGCCCCAAATTAATATATCACAACACTGTTGATAACTAAAACACCAAAGAATTCAGAGTTACCCGCCTGCTGCACATCCCAGCACTGCTGTTGCCTCTCCTCATTCATTCATCATCCCAGATAAGCCTACTGGAGGAAGGCAGTGTTGTTGGGAGCTGTCAAGTATTATTCTGCTAGCAGGACTGTCGGAACTATAGTCATGCGTGCCATGAATTCTCCAGTTAGAGCAAATCCTGGCAAGAGATCTGCTCCCTTCTCCCAGTGTTTAAAAGGGAGGGAGAAGAAATGACAAGTACCAGGATCTATAGATAGTTTTAGAACTTTGTTGCAATATTTAATGGTTCTGAAATCAAGATTATATTCAAAACAGTAGATGCAATGTCATAGCATTTCCAATTTCTTTCTCCGTGTTCATGAAGAAAATCATACTGGAGGTCTCTGAACTGCATCTTACCTGCTTGGTTGGTGGTGATGTTTACTGAGGCATGCTGTGGTGGGAATGGGCTTTTATTGGAAACTCCATTGACTGCTTGGATTTCAAAGGTGTATGGTGTATGGGCCCACAGGTTGCTGATGAAGACTCGAGTTTCCGTAAGACCCAGCTGTCTTGGTACAAACTCCACATTGTCATCGCAGCGGGAGCAGCTACGGCGATCTGACCGACACTTTTTGCAGACTATGTTATAGGTCACATCATCACGACCTCCTGTCTCCCGAGGTGGGTGCCATTCTAATATAATTGATGTCTCATTGACAATAGAGATTACATTGCGAGGTCCTGAAGGAACACCTGTTAAATAACAATTTGCAGATCAAGGCTGTGCAAGTAAATGTCTGACTTCAATAAAATGTACAGCTTTAGTGATATTTTAAGACATTAGAATATTAGGCTTCCTGCAGTTTTGGGTAAAGTATTTATTTATTTATTATTGAAAACAATTACAATAATCCTCTCAGAAGGTGACCACATGAGTGACTGATATATCCCTTGTGTTTTTCTAATGTGGCACTTCTGCTGAGGACTCCTGAGATCACAGAGACTTTCTATGTTCCAAATTATCTTCGTTGTCTTCTCCATGGTATGCGGCAAACCTTTCACTTCTCCAAATGTTCCTTTCTTGAAAAAACTTGATTGAGCTTTCTCTTCTCTTCCCCCACCTGCCTGACCCATTACTACCAACAGTCATGTAGGAAGAATTCTAGTAGTCTATTTATTTTAAAATATTTATTTTTATTTAGTTTCTTACTTTACTTGTAAACTGCTTTGGGAGGATTATTATCCTAAAAACATAGAATATAAACAATTATAACAAATTTATTTGACACACAAATTCTCACTGATCACCTTAACTAAGAAAACATTTTCACACACCAAATTGACAACTGATGCTCCTAGAAGAGTTTTGTAATGGGCTCATTTATTTCAGTTACCTTGAGGCATATGATATCAGCAAATGTCTCTTGGATTGTGTAGGATAATCATCTACATAGACAAAATAACAGTAATGTTGTCTTTTTCTTTGCTTGTTTGTGTCACTGCCTTGTGGCCATAGATATATCCATATTTAGTACATTCTCTCCCCATAAAGCATGACACTAATTTGGTTTGGTATCATTCATTTAGACTATTATCTTTTAGAGTGTGTATGTATGAATGTATGTATGTATGTATGTATATAAAGGAGGGAATCCAAAAGCATAACTGATTTGACTGTGATGAAAGAATGAAAAAAATAGTGAAGGATGCAAGAATGATGAGATGGTCTGGATGTGTGATGGATCATTTTTTGAAAGTGTCAAGACTGGTTTGGTATAAAAAATGGACATAGAAGAATAAGAAAAAAATAAAAGAAAATAAAGTGAACATAGAAATACTATTGGAAGAAACAATCTGAATTCTGTACAAAAGGTAGGAAATTAATGTCCCAACAAAACAAAAGAAAAGAAAATATAAGGAAAAGTATATGAATGAGATAAAAATGCAAGATATGAAGATAAGAGAAAGATGTTGCTTAATGTGGATTTTAAAGAAAAATAGTTGCAAGAATGTAGTCAAGAACTGGTTAATATTAAAATGGCAGAGAAAAAAAATGATGGAAAGGAAAAAAATAATGTTTTGGAAGTAGGTGAAAAGGGCTAAACAAGAAGCCTCCAGCACAGTATTTTGAATTAAAAATCAAAGTAATGAAACTGTAGTTAGAGAATGCTGAAAGGAATATTTTAGAGATTTGTACATAAATGATAGTGCTATGCCAAAGAGTGGAAATAAAATGAATGCTATAAATGTTACCATCCAAAAAAAGTGAATGAAAAGAAATGTGAGAACGTTGAAAAATGTTAAGACTTCAGTTATAAGATGGTATAACTGGAGAAATGTTAAAATACAGGTGTGATTATGGAATGGCTATGCAACTTGTGTACCATGTATGAAAACTGTATGTGTGCCAGATGATTGGAAAAATATTGATATTGTTCCTTTCATCTCTACAAAAGGAAAGGTAGCCAGAATGAATGCAAAAATTACAGGGGGTTTCATTTAATAAGTCTACTCAGGAAGGAATTTGGCAGAATTCTGATCAAAAGGGTATGAAACATGACAAGGAACAAAACTGAAAAAGTACAGTGTGCTTTATGCCAACAAGTAGGAATGCAGGCCATATTTTTGCTGTTCAGCGGGTCATTGAGATTGTGAAAAAGACAGTTTATTGTGAATTTTTTGCTTTAGAGAAAGTGCTATTATAAAGTAAATAGGCTTGAATTATGGAACATGTGTGCAAATATGGAGTTGATGATTGGATGCTGAATATAAGTTTTATATAAATTTAAGTTTAAATAAAACATTCATGAGAATAGAGTGCTTAGTTAATGGTTTGACATTAATCAGGGAATAAGACAAGTATGTATGATCTCACTTAATGCATTTATGGTTAGGTATAAGCAATGCTTGTGGTGACATTAGAAGTACTGTATGTTGAATAGATCAATGTGTATGTGTATGTAGATGATGCCATATTGTTGCCTGAAAACTCAAATAATTTGCAGCAAATATTACAGTGCGATGAGTATGATTCTAAAAAAATATAATGTATCAAAATCCATGATATTTGGGTTTGGCAGAGCAAATGGGAATGAAAGATTCCAAGTTATATAGAAATAGCAAAAAAAAAAAAAAAAAGAAAGAAAAGAAAAAATGAAGAAATAGATGAATAGAATTTTTACTAAAGATAGGGAAGTGTATGGAGAAATGCACTAGTGACTAGTGGATAGTATGTACTATGTTGTAAAGAGTGAATAGGCTATGTATAATTTTGTTCTCATTTTGTTATATGAAAATGAGAGTTGGGTATGCCAATAAAAATATAAACGTTGAATGGCGGGAATATGTGGTGCTCAAGGAATATGTGTGATAAAAAAAGAGATAGGCTTAAAAATGAATGGGTGCTGAATAAATATGGATTGAATACAAAAGTATGTGATCAGTACAAAACAAGTATGTTGAAATAAAGAATGAATAAAGATTGAATCACAAAGCAATTGTAAGAAGGAAGAGTAATGGGTTAAGAGAGAAGTGAGAAGTTTGAAGGAGAAAAGGCAGTGGAAGAGGTCTATGGAGGTGGTGGAAGCAAGGATGGTTTGCAAAGATAGAAAGTATGGACAAATATAGTGAATGATGTCAGTATAAACTGGATATAGGCATTTTTCTCTTTCTTTTTCCTTGTCTTATTTCTCTCTCTTTTTAAAATCTAACTTCTATTTGTTATTCCTTTTCTGTTACTCCTTTGCATAATGTTGCTTACTCTGATGGATGTGTAGGCATATACTGTATATGTATGTATGTTAGTTAGTGTAATCTGTATTCTATTCTAGGAATACGCATCCCTAGCCTTATGTTACATGCAGCTTCCAGAGACTCAAGTTACAATCCCAGCACCCTTCAGAAGTTGTCACCATGTTGAAATTTCTAATTTAAAAAAGGGTGAAATGATCAAATACATGGAGAGTAATCATATTACTATATTTAAATTAACATAATTAAATTAGCTTTAATTAAATTTAAATTAAATTTAGTTTTCACTGTGGCCTTGTCCACCATTTGGAGTGATTAATTACACATTACTCAATGATCAATGAGGCCCTTGAACCAAATACAAATTGTATGAGTGTGTGTGTGTGCGTGTGCATATGTGCTGGTTTATATACAGCACACAGGAATGGTCAAGATGAGACCCATGAACAGCATCACTCAACTTGAAGCCAATATTCATGCATCTGGATTGAAAATACAGAAATAAATTTGTAGAAAAAATCTTCAGAGAGAGCATTTGTACATCCTTTCCCTAACCTTTTAAAATGCTTATTGTTAAGTACATCAAGAACAAGCAAATAAAAGGCAGAGTTTTGTGAGAGCTAAATCTGCCAAGGGTGGAAAAAGAACCTGAGATCAGACACAACAATTATTAAAACATGGTGTAGGTACCCTCCACATGAGAGATCAACAAGAAGTTCATTAGTGTGTAAGGGCAGAAGAAAAATGTAAGATTTAAACAGTGGAGCTGTTACAAAGTGTAGACTGGATTGCTACATCTCCATTAGAAGATCTTCATTACTTAGGGCTTCTTTTATATGCAACAAAAGCAAATTATTTATTCAAAGTTTGTCCTTGTCTGTTCCTCTGCTAACTCCTGAATGGTGGTTGAGTTTATAGGGAGAGATTTATTGCCAAGCCCTGAGCAAAGTTCTGACAAGTACAAAGCAGCAGTCATGATCATATAATAAGTTGTCTTTGGTTGGCTGTTCTTCATTGGTAGTATGATATCTCTTATCTTGCAGAGTCATGTGCTGAAGACATGCACTGTAACATTTTGTAGCAAAAATCAGGAAATGAAAATGAGGGTTTTGACACATGCAATTCATGGTAGGGCCTAGTCTGGCAGGCAAACACAACTTTCATTCTCTGTACATTCTTCTCTTCCAGCAAAATACCACAATAACTACTGTATTTCATTTCTGGTGTTTCCAGCATTTTCCCATATCTGTTCTGACATCACAGAAAACAGAGAATCTTATTTGCTTACATTTCTTTCTCAGCTGATCCTCAACCAATCTATTTTGTAACCATCATACTCATGGCCAGACTCCAACAACTTGGTGTCCCCATATCTACTTGCTTACAACTCCATTTATTGTCTGGACAAACATTTAGCAATTTAGCTGGTGTATTTTCCTGAAAAACATTTTAACTGGTGAATATCATTAAATTTTGATTATTTAAGTATATTTAATTGATTTGCTTCTATCCTTTAACTATAATTCTCTTTTTATCTGTATTGATAGCTACTTGGAGAAAGTTCTGGGAGGAGGTTAGGAGAAGAAAGGATGTATATATATTTAATTAATAAGTAATTAAAACCTGGAAAGCGATAAATTGGGGAAGATTGCCTTAGCCTGTGATAAGAATTCAAGCTGCTAAGTTATGCAGTTGGATATCTCCAATGGAGTCATATTTGCAGAAATTAGACAACCAAAACAAAGGTGACATGGAACTATTCTTTTTTGTTTAAATGTTCCATGAAACACATTTCAAATTTCAGAAAAGTCCACATAAAAAGCAGACACAGGCTGGTAGAGAATGTCAGATACAGTAAATTCTTATTAATACTATGTAAGTTTGAAAATTCTTATTAATACTATGTAAGATTGAAAAGATGGATATTTAATGAGGTCTTAGAAGGCTCTCCGTCTATGTCTATTTTCTATGTAGTTATTATGCATGAGCAACATGGACACCAA